AAATTATAACAGATGGTATACACTCTTTCTGCATCTTGTTTTTATTATCCAACATTGTTTTCAAGACCTCTTTAGGTACTGATAGACAGAAAAGTTGATCTAATTTATTCATTTTAACAATCATCCTTTGTATGACTGGTATATTTTACTCATTGATAGACCTTTGGGTTGTTTGATTTTTTTTAATATTATAATCAATTCTTCATTGAAATGAGATGTCTGCACAGAACAAGAGTTTCTCTAGGCCCCATACACAGGTGGTCATATGATAGATACATCTTTAATTTGACTTGATACTACCAAATTACTCTTCAACTTGGTTATTAGAATTTACATTTATATCAACAATAGGAGGGTACCATTTTCTTATCTTTCTCCATATTAGATGTTGTTGTCTAAGAACAAGAAAAGAGAGAAGAGGGTATTTCATTTTAATTTTTCTGTTAACTAGAGCAATTAAACATCTTTAAAAATGCTTATTTGACTATTTAGGTATCCTCTTTTTATTGTCTGCTCATACATATCTTTTGCTTATTTTACTGTTGAGTTATTTTTATCTCTTTCTTACTCTTTAAAAGAGTTCTATGTGTACTTTGGATACTCACTTTATAACACACTTTGTTGAAAACTTCTGATGTGCTCCATTTTACCTACCTTCACTGGATATACTTCCTTTTACATTGTTTCACCAGTATTTATATGCCAAACTTCTCTACTGGTCTAACTTGATATGATCAGGTACTTACTCGACATTTTACCTTGATGTCCCCGTACAGTCTCCACATCAGTTTTTAAAAGTAGACCATATTGTTTCCTCCCTCAACTTACCTTCTTCATATTCTGAGTCTCAATCTTATATACCATTGTTCACTTAGTCAGTGAAGCTAGACACCCAAAGATCATTGTAAAGTCTCTTTCTTTTGCTTTCCATTGCAATCCATATTCAAGTCTTTCCAATTTTACTGCCTGAGCATTTTTTAAAAAAAATCTCTCCTTCTTTAGTAACATGAAGAAATGGTGCCAAGGTAATTAATAGAATCTGAGGATATTGTATAAATGGAATAGACTAGCTAAAGGTTAAACTTTGGTGACCATTTGCTGGAAAATGAAAAGAGAGAGAAATTGAAGCAATTATTAAGAATCATTATTGTACAGTAATTGAGAGCTGTTGTTTTGGAATTAAGCAGACCATGTTCAAATCACCTTCTATTTGTTTATGAATAATTTTTGAAACATACATATATCAAAAAGATAAGTGAAATGTACCCTGAAGAAAATTTAGTTTTCATTGTAAAAATTTTGATATGTTGAAATACTCAATTCAAGTAGTTTTTTCTTCTGGGCTTGTCTGTGTAGCACTCACTCAGGATCTCTTTCTACTTTTTAATTTTCTACTTGCTAATTCACTTAATTCACTGTGAAAGTTCAGACTCTGGGTGGGAAAGAAGAGGAAAGGTGAATTGCAACTGCGCTTAGCACAGTTTGTGTATGTGTGTGCACATGTGCAGTGGAGATGGTGGGCTGCAGTTCTGATTGACTCCAACTCTCCACGTGGGGTTAGCTCAGGCATCCCCAGCTGTTCTCAGACTTCCATGTCACTCAGCAATATGAAACATACACATATGCCTGCAAGTGCATTCATAAGTAGTAGATGGTAATAAAAAGTTGGGGTTGGTTGTATATATGCTTCACCTACATTTTTCACTCTGTGAGCTTTATTTAGGTTTTTAATTCTCTGAAGTTTGAGAACACGAGTCTCTAAAGTATGATCCAACTGAATTTGACTACAGTAAAACTTGGGAATACCTAGTAGAGTTGTTAGTCTCTCTACTGGTGTGTTTTTTTCTTCGCTGCTTTAATGGGGATAAAGAAAAGGTAATTAAAATAATATTTGAGTTTTAGGTTTTGGGCATGTTTTCTGAGGGGAAGTTTTTTTAGCTTAAATTGGATGACCTCTAGGAGCTTTATACTGCTAAAGATTTAACTTATAGATTCCTTGAGGACTACATGGCAAATATATATGACTTTTATTATTAAGTTGCAAATAGTGTTTTAGCTTTTCCTTTCCTTGGAATTGACTTCATAGTTTGACTCTGTCTGGCAATTACATTATAAATGCTATTTTTCACGAACTTAAATAGCCTTAAGAATGTTACAAATGTTCCATGGGGTGAAACGAAGATATTAATTTTATAACTTCATGGAAAGCCACAGCCTGTGGTTGACTGTCAGATTTGAAAATGACCTAACATTGACATAACAAATAAGAAGAAACAGTTTTTACAATTGTATTACATTTATCCAATACTCCTCCTAACAAACAATTATTTTAGTTTGAATAAGAAAAGAGAAAGAATGACATTTTTTGATCACCTGCCATTCATCAGGTGTTATTTAATCTGTATAATCTCATTTTATAATCAGGGAAAAGTATTCACAGGATTTTCAGTATTTTACCCATGGTCACCTAGCCTATTAATGCCCTAAAGTAGACCTGCTATCTTTTCTGTTTTGATAACAACAAAAGTTCCAGTTAGTTAAAAATGTAAAGTTTAAGTTTTTGAATAATTATAAAAATAACTTCAGCAAAATATACAAAGTACAAGTGCTCTGAAAAAGTGTAACTTCGTTTTTTTTCTCATTTTATTCTTATGAAATATAATCCTTATGTCCATCAGAGACCTAAAGCATTGACCATCTTGAACTTCCTTATTAGCCAGCTGGCATGTTTTCCTAGCAAAACATTTTCTGATTTGACCACAAGCTCTCTGAATCAGTTGTTACTGGTTTGAATAATAGAATATGCTGTCATGGTGGGCACCTGATCATGAAAACTGATATCTGGAGTACATTTTTATTTGGATTTAAAATGTTTTTACAATCCCAGTATAAACACTGTTAATCTAGTCAAAACCTTTTCTCACAAGATCAAGAGCTTGCATGGTTTTACTTAAACTAGTTACAGTCAACAGAATGAGACTGAATTGTACATTTACATTAGGCAAAATTTTAATTTATTTTTCATATGAAGGATGTCATATCAAAACAGTTTTAGGAATTTTTGAGATAAAACAACTTAGTTTCAAACTCTAAATAGCTAGATTTATTTAACTTAATACCATTTGGAAATTTTATTGTGTAATTTTTGTGGGATTGGGAAGTAAAGTACACAATTTTTGATGCAATGCTGAGAAATTACAAATCTGTCTTACATTTGGGTTATGGATTCAAGATTTGAGAGTTACTGGGTTTTTTTTTTTTTTTGGTTTTTCATTGAATTAGTTTTGTGAAATATAATTAATTTTTATAATTTTGATATAACAGGTCCCTCCAAAGACAGTAAGGATAATTTTCTTAGTTGTCTCCATAAGGATGAGTAAAAGTTAATTATTTTTAAGGCAGTTTAAACATAATTGCCTTAAATTTGGATAATAACTAGAAATTATGCCTGATTTTTATAAAAGAAACATAGATTTAAAAGAGTCAGGTAGAAAATAGTGTATTATTTGGCTCTTTTTTTTTTTTAAGATTTTATTTATTTATTTGAGATTGTGAGATAGCACAAGCAGGGGGAGCGGCAGAGAGAGAGGGAGAAGCAGGCTCCCTGCTGAACAGGGAGCCAAACATGGGGCTCCATCCCAGGACCCTAGATCTGAGCCGAAAGCAGACGCTTAACTGACTGAGCCACCCAGGCGCCCCTATTTGGCTCTATTTGATTCTTTTTATTATTCTTCATTGGCTAAAGATGATGTTACAATTTTAGTTCCAGTGAATTATAGTTTTATTTAAATATCCACTCATCTTTCAGTGCAAATGATGGAAAGATCTTGGTGTTATCAGAAACTACTAATATATTAAGGGATCTTAACTGTGGAAGAGAGCAACATAATACATTTCACAAAATTACATATGGATACTTAAAAATATTTGTTATTCATGCTGTATTGGAAAGGAGTAGTTAGAATTTTTTACTGAATTAGGCCTGGCATATTTTGGAGGGCACCATTTTTTTTTTTTTTTTAAGATTTTATTTATTTATTTGACAGAGAGAGACAGTGAGAGAGGGAACACAAGCAGGGCGAGTGGGAGAGGAAGAAGCATGCTTCCTGGCCAAGCAGGGAGCCCAATGCGGGGCTCGATCCCAGGACCCTGGGATCATGACCTGAGCCGGAGGCAGACACTCAATGACTAAGCCACCCAGGCGCCCCATGGAGGGCACCATTATTAATATCTGGGATATTAAGTGGGAGCAGAATGCAATCAATTAAAAAAAAATTCTTCATATCTACTGACTAATACATCATGTTGATATTGAAGAAGAGAAAAAAAGAACAATTTTACCTCAATAGGAACATCCAACAACTTATAGGAAGAAGCTGTGGCTTTTTAGCACTTGTTTATAGTTTAGTGTGTCCATGAGCAGGGAAGAATCAAAATTTTTCTCTGACCCAAGGTTTTAGCACTGATACTTTGCTTTTTCTGGAACAATAATGAAACAAAACGTGATTTTTAAAAATTTAGTGTTTATGATCATGTTTTAAGACTAACAGTTGGAATAGTGTGGTATGTGGTAATTCACTATGGCATTGAAAGTTTTGAATAAGAGATTAAAAATACATTAGCTAGAAGAGCTAAAAGGAACTAAGTATTAACAGAATCAAATGTTTCCCCGATCAGTAGTACTTAAGAACAGATCACTGCCCACCCATTCCCTGAACTTGGGTAGAAGAAATTTAGTGAAGAATGACTATATATTTGCTAATTTTGTCATGCACAAACTTGCCATAGTTATTTATATTTTATAAAACCATCAAAATCTTTTTCTATCTGGTTTTAAAATTATTCCGTAACTCAACTTGGATGTTCTCTTCAAATCCACAAGAATTCAATGTAGACTTTTCTGTAACGAAATTCAATTTGTACTTCCCATCTCAATTACTAGTTAATGAATATTCTGGTACCCAACTTTATCTTTTTATTTTTGGCATTGTTTCTTTCAGCACAGTGGAGAATTTACAGTTTCCCTCAGCGATGTCTTATTGACCTGGAAATACTTCCTACATGAGAAGTTGAACTTACCAGTTGAAAATATGGAAGTGATTGACCATTATGAGGACATTAGGAGGATTTACGATGATTTCTTAAAGAATAGTAATATGTTAGATCTGATTGATGTTTATAAAAAATGTGGTGTTTTGATTTCTAGTTGTGAAAATAATGCCAACATATCCCCTGTAAGTATTTTTTAAAATAATTCTATCTTAAATGAAAATTGACTAGATTTATTTTTATTTTAAACTATGGTATCAGCATTTATAGTAACTTGATAATGCTTTTGCTTTTCAGATCATGTTAGAAATGGAAAATTTAGCTACCTGAAAGTTAGTTATTACTGGACAGAAATATTTCAGTGGTAAATTTTGCTGGAATTCTGTTATTTGGTTGAAATATAAGAACAGCTTCTTACTAGATCAAAAAATTTTAACAAAGAGATCAGTCCCAAATGCTTGATTTCTTTTTGAATTTGTGCCAAGGATTGCTTTTTATTTTACTTTCTTGTTTTAATGTGCATCTGTTCATTTGGCATATGTTGTATAAATGATTGTTATGACTCTTTCTATGGATTAATAATATTATTTTACTGAGATGGGGTGTCATTTTGTGACGATAGTATGATGCAATAAACATGAGATAATATACTATTCCTTTTTTTTACATACACATATTCACTGCTTTATTTTTTTATTGAATATAAATTTTAAAACTAATGAGATGCCATCCTTTGCAGTTTGGTTTTACCTACATTAGAATAAACTGTTTTAGAATATATTTGGATGTATCTAGTTTATTCTAAAGTGTTGAAATATATTTCTTTATCTTAACATTTACTTAAAGTAGCAATTAAATAGTGGTAATAACAATAATTATAGATATAATTAGAAGAAAATGTCTATTTTCTAAGATATTAAAATATTTTATAAATATTTCTATCTGATACTTGGGAATCATGTTTTGGCTGCTTGTAATAGAAACCTCCAGAGTAACAGTGGTTTAAGAAAATGGAAGTTTAGTTCACTCTTTTATAAAAGGAGTCTTAATGTAAGCATCTGGGACTGATGTGATAGCTCTTTGGTTATCAGATACCTAGGATTTTTCTGTCATTCTGCTCTCCCATCTTAGTTCTTGACCTCTGCCCTCAAGATCATTTGTGGTCCAAGGTAGCTGTTGAAGCTCCAGATTCCATATCAGCATTCCTTGCATCAGGAAGTAGTAAGGGAGAACAGCACTCTCCTTTCCTTTTAAAGAGACATGACTCCTTTGCTTCCATGTCCTTGCCCAAAGCTTAGTCACATGGCCACACCAAGATGTTAGGGAAGATGGAGAATATAGTCTTTTTTTTTTTTTCTGGGTAACATGCCAGAATAAAAACAAAATCTCTGTTACTGAGGAAGAGGAGAGTGGATATTGGCAGGCAGTTTGCTGTCTTGGCCTCACTGGGCTATAATGGAACCCTTTCCCCTGTTGTAACTTTTTTTTTTTAAGATTTTATTTATTTATTTGAGAGAGAGAAAGAGCATGAGTGTGGGGGGAGGGGCAAAGGGAGAGGGAGAAGCAGGCTCCCCGCTGAGCATATAGCCCAACACAGGGCTCAATGTGGGCTCTACTTGGGGCTCAGTCCCAGGACCCTGGGATCATGATCTGAGCCAAAGGCAGATGCTTAACTGACTGAGCTACCCAGGTGCCCCCCTGTTGTAACTTTCTGAGACACACATGCATACCCACACTATGGTAAAGATACTTGTGAGGCAAGATAGTTTTTTTCATTTCTCCCTACCTATATTTTATTTGCTTGTAGAGATGATTTTTGACTTCTTTTCATATAGTTAATTTAGAGAGGCTAATCAAACGTAAGTATTAGATTGTAGGAACAACAAAGAGAATCTTCTGATAAACCAATGAGAGTATAATCTGCCTGAGGTTTTTGGGCACATTGTTTTCATCTTATCCTTTGTTCCTGTCTAAGTCTTCTAATAAACCTCTTCATTTAAGTGCATCGACTATAGTATGAGATATATAGATCTACATTGGAGGGAGTTCTGTGTCTCCAAATATCAACATGTTCTTCTACAGAACATCAGGAGTAGGGTGGAAGCTGCTGAGATGATACCATGTGAAGTTGAAATTTTTCTGCACTTAAAATGGAAGATTTGAACTTCGATACTTGTTTGCTCTAGGGAAATTTCCAATGAAGAAAAAGTGAGCAGGATAACAGATCCTTAGATTGATTTCCTCAAAAATGCATTAAAATAGCCCTAATTTATGCTAAAAGTGTTTTTAAAAAAGATTATTTGAGAGACAGAGAGAGGGGAGGGGAGGGAGAGAATCTTCAAGCAGACCCCCCACTGAGTACTGAGTCCGATGAGGAGTTTGATCCCACAACCCATGAGATCATAACCTGAGCTGAAACCAAGAGTGGGATGCTTAACCGACTAAGCCACCCAGGTGTCCCTAAAAGTGTCTTTAAAGATACATATGCTTATGTATCTTTGTTTCTTATTTATTGTAGCCTAAATAAGGCAGAAGTTACACGGAATTAAGATAAAGGTAAGACAGGGATGTTCTGGGAACATGGTAACTTGAACAAGTTATTTCATACATTATAATTGTATTTCATACAATTATAAATGTATAAATACATATAAATGTATTTCATATATTGTAATTCCTCTCCTGAAGAACATGGATGCAGGGCCTGTGGGCATCTGGGAGCATATAAGGCCTTGAATTCTAAATGGAGTCCAAATAGAGACAATTGGTACAGAGTTTGCTTTTTCATGAATTTAACAATTATCTGAAGGATATTGGAGACCTGGACTGAGGAGAAGAAATTGTAGATTCCAAGAAGAGCTTAGCAGCCCTCAGAAATCTGGGTACTTTCTGGGGAAGGTCAACAAATACCCTCTGTGAGTGTGCCAGGATTCTCTGACTCAGGAAGCCAAGAAGTAGCTGAATGGATGGGCATACGGTAGGTGATCCTTGAGAGACCACAAGAAGACTCTCCCTTGGCTTAAGCAGGTGTGGCATCCTGTTTATTTTTCCACTGATGCTTCATAAAGAGTAGAGACTATTTCAACTTCTATTACTTGTAAAATTGTCATCACTTAAGGTACCTCAACAGTCTCAAGGCTGAGCCTTCAAAAAGCCAAGAAAAGCAACAGCCACTTAAGGAGTCCCAGCAGCCACAGAAAGATGAGTTAACTCAGATCACATGTGACCAACAGAATAGAGCTCTTAGTGGTGAATGACAACTTGAATCCATAAAAATAGTAAGTACTCAAGGAAATTCAAGGACTCACCTAAATGTAAGACTTTCTAGATTTAAAAAAAAGAAGAAAAAAGAGAAGTCTTCCCAATGCAACAGATGAATTCAGACACAAATTAGAGTTCTGAAAGTCAAATACAATAAATATTTAAAAAACAGAGGCACCTGGGTGGCTTAGTTGGTTCAGCGTCTGCCTTTGGCTCAGGTCAAGATCCTAGGGTTTTGGGATCGAGCCCCATCTCGGGCTCCCTACTCAGTGGAGAGCCTGCTTCTCCCTCTCCCCGCTGCTTGTGATCTCTCTTGCTCTCTTTCTCTCTCTCAAATAAATAAAATCTTTTAAAAAACAATCTTTTAAAAATAAATATTTAAAGCACAGAGAGAAAAATATGAAGATGAAGAAATCATGAAGGAAAAGTTAAGAAACTTGGAGGTTGGATCTAGAGGGTTTAACATAACAAATGATAGGAATTCCAGAGGAGAAAAGGAACAGACACAGAAGAGGCCATGATTAAAATATTCTAACCACATTTGTTATAATAAAATTTCCCTGAGTCTGTTAGTTAAGAGGGTTTATGAAGTTCCAGGCTATATTGAAGACAAAAGACACATACCTAGGCATATCCTGGTAAAACTTCTGAACTCTTAAGGATAAAGATAAATATAAGTTTCCTGGTGGAAAGAACAAGTTATTTAAAAGGTACAACAATGAAATAACATGTCCTGAAAGAGAAGGACAGTGACCTAAGAATCTCATCCTCAACAAGGTATCACTTACCAGCTAAGTTAAAGGAAGGATTTGTGAGGATATGCAAAAATTTGAAGAATGTCATCTTCATACTTCAAGTGAAGAATTTGCCTTTCAAAGACCGTGATAATTAAACAGATGAACTAGAGAGCAGATGGCTATCCAGGGGAAGATGGTAGTGAGCAATGAAACTTGGACTGTATGTGTGCCTAGTTAAAATGATAAGGATGGACTGGGAATATGTGTGCTAAAATGGAAGGCTTATACTAAGGGAGATTCTGATATTAGTTCAAAATTAAAATGGCTAAATATTGGAGTTTGTTGGAGTAAGTAGCAGGCATTATCACTTTTAAATAATAATAGAGAAATGGGTCTGATGTGAGTACAGGAAAGTGAAGGTAACCGTTAATTGAATGGAAAAATATAGTTAAAAAGAGGATAAAAATAGAATGAATAACTTACCAAATCAGGAAAGATATGTCAGTAAAATTAATAGTGTATCACAGAAAATCCATTGTGATTTTTGTGCTTACTTCAGAAAGCTTTATGCTATATCATCTAGAATCCTTGTCAAATTTTTAGTTCTAGGAACCCCTTTGCACTCTTAAAAATTATTTAGGACTACAAGGAGATTTTGTTTATATGAGTTATATCTGTTGATATTTATATTGAAGATTAAAATTGAGATATGTTTAAAGTATCAGTTATTAAAATATTGATAACAAACCTATTATATGTTAATGTGAATAGTATTTTATGAATAAATTTTCCAAGAATAAAAAAATTGTGAGAATAGTGACACTGTTTTACATTTTTAGAAATATCCTTGATGTCATGTGTGATAGAAAATAACTGGATTCTGTTTGATATGTGTTTTGACTGAAGTATATCAAGAAAATTTAGATTCACATTGGTACATCGTTGGAAAAGGGAGAACCTCCTGGGTCCCCTGAATGGGCCTTGGGGACTCAGGAGTCCTTGGACCATACTCACTGAACTGATCCAGAATATTGTACTTTACATGTCATTAGACTGAAAATAGTTTTAAACCAGAGGGTAATATTATCCCATTAAAAAAAATAACACCGTGTTTATGAAAGAATAAATCTTTGCTTTTAACATCTCTTCTGAAAACATAAGAACCACAAGTGTGAGGACTACCTCTATTCAAAATTAAATAGTGAATTATTTTTTTAAAAAAGAGACACACCGAGAAACAGACTCTTAAATATGGAGGACAAACTGATGGTTACCAAAGGGGAGGTAGGTGGGGGAATGAGTGAAATAGGTGATGGGGATTGAGTGCACTTCTTGTGATGAGCACAGGGTGATATATAGAAGTGTTGAATCACTATATAGTATACCTGAAACTAATATAATACTATATGTTAACTATACTGGAATTAAAATAAAAAAAAACAGTGATTGTCAAACACAAATTCTCCCAAAATGATTTTTCTATTTAAAAATAATGACCCTGAATGATTTCATAACATTAATTTTTTAAATATTGAAAATTTGCACTGTAATATAGTCGGTGGTCATTAAATGTTTCTGGCTAGTATTTAGAAAATAGGTATCTAAGTTGTCCTTTGTAATAAAGGAGTAAAAGTCAAAACTTGTTAAGAAAAAAGGAAATTCTTTTTTTTAGTGAACTTGAATCTTGATATTCAAGTTATGAACAACAAAATCCTAGTCTTTCTAGTTTTTTTCTTTCTTACTGTTAGCTCTGAGTTCCAGCTCATCATATTAGTAGAATAGTGGCAAACGCTATTGCTTTTTAAGAAGTATATATTGGTGTTGGCTAATTGAATTTAAATTAAAAAAAAATAAGAAAAGAAAAAGAAAAAAGTATATATTGGTGAGTTGTTTTAGTTATAATTTTGCAATGGCTGAGAGGACAAGTGGTTTGCATTCTCATTAGGCTTTGTTAATTCAATTTGTACCTTCCCTCCAGGTTGACTCATTCGGAATGGGGTGTGTGAATACCTATATAGCCTTAGATCCCTTAGAACAAATAATGTGTTTGAAATATTATGCTGTTAGGACACTAAGTTTACTTATATATAATTCCAATATGAAGCATTTATTGTATGCCTTAGGTAAGCCTTTTCTTTGCCATTCATTTTTTTCTATAAAAACAAAAGGCTCGGATTAAATTTCCAAGGTTATCTTTTAACTCTAAACTTGTAAACTCTTTGAGTACAGCCATTGGAAACAAGCATTTTGTTAGAAAATTTAATTCCATGTACACTTACTGCCAACAAAGATCAGGTAATAATACTGTATACTGGAATATCAGTGGCATTATATACAGCTTGGTGTGAAATATTTTTTATAGTTGTCTAATTATTAGTAACCTCCTATGTTTTCTACAGAGTCAACTACGGGATTTTCTGTCTGGGAGAGAGTATGTAGCAGCTGATGAAACTGATCTTTATGTACCGACATCACCAATGAGTAAACACAACCAGGATAATGAAAAGGTACTGATAAATTGTGAGTAAATTAAAGCAGGATATGATTCTCTTCAAATCACCATTAATTTGTACATTACAGTTATTTTTTTTAATTTTTAGAAGTTTTAAATTTGTTTAAATAAAGCTATATTTGCAAAGAGTAATACATTAGAGACTGCTGAGAGCCTGATAGTTTCTTCCTGGTTTTGGGCCAAGGTAACAGGCACTGTGCAAAAATAGGTATCACTCTTAAGTCTCTGAAAAGTAGTTGGAAGGTCTAGGTTGCCAGAGTTCTTTGAATCTTTGTATTTGGTGAATTTGCTTATGGTTTTAAATGAATGATTCTTGGGAAGATACGTACAATTGAAAATTCTGTTCTGTACCCTTTGCAGTAGATAACTGATGCATCACAAATTGTGTTAATAGAGTTTGTTGTGCAAACAAACCACAGAAAACAAACCACAGGTTTGGTCTAATACAATTTACCTTCGGTTAAATGCTATGCTATTAGGTACCTAATTAAATATAGTAACCCCTTACTAACCATGGGGGTAATGTTTATGGAAGTTTCTATGGTAAATAAAATCACTATTGACAAGATAAAAATTTAGGAGTATTAGAAACAGCAGTAAAATTACATTCAACATATCTAAATCCATCTTCTTCATTCAGTTTGATGAATCACCTTCTTCATTTTTAAGGAAACTGCTATGGCAGATTCTCCCATAAGTCTCATGCCATACAGATTGCACTTTAAGAAATATATTTGTCACTGCCTTCAATTAAATACCTGTGCATCTACTTCCTAGACCTACTAACGTGCTTGAACATCTGCATCTAATATTTTTTCTCCTGTATTTGAAAGTTAAGTTTCTGACGTCATGACATTTAATCCCTACAGTTCTTCAGCATATCATTTCCTGGAAATAGAGGCATGATCATAATATCATTATCATATATAAGAAAACATATGTCATATATATCAATATAAGTATTCCCTAATATCACTTACTGTCTTCCCTATTCAGATTTCTCCAGTTGTTCCCCAAATGGTTTTATATCTCTTAGAAGAACTCTCCTCAGTCTTTTTCTCTTCTTATTTATCTAATTTCTCCTGGTATTATTTATCTTGTTCCTCTATTTCCAATAAACTGGAAGTTTTATGCAAACCTTGCTTAGATTGAAGTTTAACGTTTCATAACAAATACTTCATAACTGATGGTGAGTATCACATTAGGAGACACAAACTCAAGTTGTCCCAAATTGCCAGATCTCTCTAGGATAAAGATGTAGTTTTCCCTTTGCTATGAGCAGAAATCTGTGGGGTGACACTGTGTAAATATCCTGTTTCCCAGCAACCTTTCACCCAGTGGTTTTACACATATGTTCATGATCCTTGTCTGAATCAGTTATTTCTTTAGTGTTTACAAAATGGTGAGTTTCTAACTCTGTCATGTCTTTACATTAATTAGCTGCCATTTCTCAGTAAAGCGGAGCTTGATAAGATAAAGCTATTTAGGGAAGTAGTTCCCTAAGAATGGCAGAGTCACGACTTAATTCTTTCCCTTTCATTACTAGTTTAGGAGTCAGGATGATAGTTATTTATAAGATAGGATGCAAATTAGATTTTTTTTCTATTTATCTTTCCTTTTTTATGCATGTATTTATTGCTATGGACTCATGAATTTTTATTTGTTCAGTTTTAAAATTAATTACCATCATTAATCTTTGATGCTAAAATGGAGAGATTCCCTTCAGGCTGGCTTCTGTGTCTTTTTTACATGCCCTACTAGACTTCTGAGCACTTCCCTTTTTTCTGGTGTAATAAAATATTCCAAGTCCATCTTTGAATGTTTTCTGCCCAGATATTATTCCTTTCATTGATTTGTAACTATTTTTCTCTTGCTTGAAGTTAGTTTTTCACTTGCATTGTTTTTCCCTCCTGTCCCAAATATTGATAAAATGTTTACCAAATGCCTGGTCTTTCTCATTGGTACTTAAGGGGTGCATTCATATATCAAGACAGTAGATCACTTACAAATCTCTTCTCTCTGATTTATCTTACAGGCTCTATAGGGAAGAAACAATAATTGTTACTGTTTCTTTTAATTAAGAGAAATGAACTAATTTGTGTGTAAAATACCTAGGTGTTTATAATTTTGGCTTACAGATATAAAATGTTATCTTAAATGGATATCCATGAAGAAAGAGTATAACATATAGAAACTAATGGGTCTTCATTGCAAGCATATAGTTCTTTCATTTAAAAAAAAGTGATAGTTTCATTGTGTTAATCCTCTACTTTTATCTCTTGCCTCCTTTTTCTAAGAGTATTCTACCTATTAGTTAGCCAATAGATTAGATTTTATGAGGACTATTAAAGTGCAGCCATCCTCTCAACTATTTTTCTGTTAGTTGCAGACTTCTAATTTTTCTTTTTGCAAAGTATTTTTGGAAGGAAATATATTTCTATTAAAATTCCAAAGTGACTTTTTGGGCTGAAGTCGTGCATAGATATATATTTGATCACAAAATGTACCTTACTAATGCCACACCAGAGTCATCAAGTAGATGAATTAGATAAATGGCATGAATTTGAGAAACAATATTTTTGTTTCCTTATTTTATTTTTCCTAAGGTACTAAACTGCTTTAGAAATTCTGAAGTAAAAAAGGGAAAATTGGAATAAAGGCCCTAAAAGAAAATCATCAGTTAAGGGGCGCCTGGGTGGCTCAGGTCATGATCCCGGGGTCCTGGGATCGAGCCCCAGGTTGGGCTCCCTGCTCCTCGGGAAGCCTGCTTCTCCCTCTCCCACTCCCCCTGCTTGTGTTCCCTCTCTCGCTGTGTCTCTCTCTGTCAAACGACTAAATAAAATCTTTAAAAAAAAAAAAAATCATCAGTTAAATAAAAAATTCTACTGGTATATTAGTTCTAGTCCAACTTTTTTTTTTTGGTCATTATATGTAAGAATTTATGTGTTTGGCAAAGAAAGTAAAAAAAATACCTGTATAAATTATTAATCTCAATCTAGAAAAACTGACTTTCTTCAAATTGAGATTGAATATCTGCATTTCAGTAATAATTAAGGGATAGGAAAAAGAACTTGGAATTGCCAGAAAGCTTAAATAAAATTGTTCAACTTCTAAACAAACATTGCAAATACTTTGTGGTATGGATTGAATCAGTTTATTAAATAAATAAACAGAACATTATCTTTATTTTTGGTATCTTGGTAAAAGCTTCAATCTTGTGGATTTTTTCAATTTAGGTCCTTGCTTCTGGACATCATAACTGTATTTATGTGGAATGCTTTTCCAGAGAGCCTCTTTAAAACGCACTTGCAAATACAAGAGCAGGGAAACCATAACTGCCATGTTATATGACCATAATGATAGAGATAGATTTCCAATTGCAGCCATGAGTTAAAAGAAACACTCTAACTGTGAGGACTCCAAGATGTTTTTCCCTGATGTTTGTCTAGCATCACGGATCAGAAGGGCAGAATTTGCTAGCCTTAAAGAGCAAGTTGTAGATGTGGGGGTTTAAGCCCTGGTTTGTACCCAGTAAGGATCAGATATATACATTTGGTAAATTCTCATTATTTTTGGACAGCAGAAGCACAGTGAAACAGGGATTGAATGAAATTAAATGCAGAAAGAGTAAAAAAGTTTCTGATTGCAATGTGAATGTCATTTTTTTTTCCTCTCTGATTTTTCACAAAATGTGTTACTCTTTTGAAATGTGAAGGGATAAGATAAAGAGGAGATTCATATGTTTTAGACTATTGTACTGTGAAGTTAAAATGGAAACTTTTGTATTATAGATTCACATGAAGTGTTATGATTTACAGTCAAAGTAAAGATAAAAGGACACTTGAAATCTAAGCAGAAAACTATATTATGCCTTATGTTATAAAATTTTAGGGTGGATCTTAAAGATGATTTTAATTTAGTTGTACCTTAAAGTAATTTTCTTTTTAAGGCAATGTAATACAAATATGTGAGTGCTTATTTGATCCCAATAAGTTTTTATCAATAGTTTTCATTTTGAAATTTCTAAAAGGGCCAAATACATGTATTAAGTTTTTTTCATTTATCATTGAACAAAAACTAATTGAGAACCTATTAACAAAAATGGATTGATTACCTACTATAATGCCAGTCAGTCTTTTAGGCCCTAAGGATACATCATTTAGAAACTGTTAAGACTTATGCAGGGTATTATAATTGACTGATATGCATAGGTATATCAGGGTGATAAGAAAAGGAGTACATGAATTACTGTTCTATACTGGGAAATCAGGGAGACTCTCTGCAAAGGTAACATCTGTCTCATATTTTTAATATTTAAGAAAAATTTTAGAGGGTTAATATTTAAGCTTTTTTTTTTTTTTAAATCAATTTTGCTTAAATTTCAAGTCCGTATTTAAGGTAACCTTTTCCTGTCCAATAAAATTTTTTTAAATTGACCCTGACTGCCTCCCATGTTTCAAGAATTGTTTTTCATAAGAAATTTAAATAATCCAAAAGCATGTTACCTTTAAAAGTACTTTTGTCTATGAACTTGAGACTTCCTTAATTGTCTCAGAGACTTCCTAATAATTTGTAATTTTCTTGCTACCTTTTAAAGCTCTCTTTTGTACTTTCTAATTTAAAATGTGATTACACAGAATATGAAAGCATTTTAATTTTAAAAAGGAAAATATTTTCTTAGAGTTTATAGATGATAAATTATGTGGTCTTTAGCTAAGTTGTCAGTCACTGAAGGACTCAATGAATTTCATGTTTTGAGAGTGAATTCAGTTTAGGATTTGTGGAGTCCATTTTTCTTTTTTTTCCTTTAAATTTTTTAAAATTTATTTTTTTTATTATTATATTCAATTAGCCAGCATATATTAGTTTTTGATGTAGTGTTCATTTTTCTAAGGGAATAGGCAAGGAGAGGATTTCAGGTAAATAGCATGGGAGCGACATTTAAGAGTTAGATACAAACAAGATTCCAGACCAAGAAGATGGGGTGGAAGTAGTTGAGAAGGTGAGAATTCCATAAAAATAATTTAATTTTGATGAAACCCAATTTATCACTTTTTTCCTATTATAGATTGTGCTTTTGGTGTCACATGTAATAACTCTGCCTAATTCCAAGTCATAAAGATTTTTTCTTATGTTTTCTTCTTAAAGTTTTACAGTTTTATATATTGTACATTTAGACCTATGATCCGCTTTGAGTTAATTTTTATAAAAAGTGTGAGGTTGGGGCACCTGGGTGGCTCAGTCAGTTAAGTGACTGCCTTTAGCTTGGGTCACAATCTCAGGGTTCTGGGATTGAGCCCCACATTGGGCTCCCCACTCAGCAGGGAGTCTGCTTGTCCCTCTGCCCCTACCCCCACTCGTACTCGCTCGCTCTCTCTCTCTCTCTCAAATAAGTAAGTAAAATCTTTCAAAAAAGAAAAAAGTGTGAGGTTTCGGTGAGTTTCATTTGTTTCTGATATGGCTGACCAATTGCTCCCATACCAACTATTGAAAAGATTGTCCTTTCTCCATTGTTTCTTTTGCACCTATGTCAAAAATCAAATGGCCATATTTGTGGTCTCTGTTCTGTTTCATTGATATGAGTGTCCCTTTATAAATACTATATTATTTTGATTGTACAGTAATATTTAAGGTCATTTTCCAGCATATTTAATATGTTGTTCCAGGATCTTCTAGCTTTTTTGATGATCTATTATTAATTTTATCATTTTTCCTTAGTATGTAATATGTCGTTTTGTTCTGGTTACTCTCAAGATTTTTTCTCGTCTTTGGCTGTCAGAGTTTAATTATAATACAGGAATGATATTCTTTGTGTTTTTCCTATTTGAGTAGCTTCTTAGATCTATAAATTAATGTCTTCCACAAAATTTGGGATGTTTTTGGCCATAATTTCATGAAATACTTTTTTCTGCTTCTTTCACTCTTCTGCAGGGATTCTAAGTACATGTCCCATAGAGCTCTTCGGTTTTATTTTTCTTTCTTTTTTTCTTCTTTTGTTTTTCTGGTTTGGTAGTTTCTATTTATATATGTGCAAATTCACTTATACTTTCTTCCACTTTCTCCAAGTTGTTGTTGAGCCCACCTAGCAAATTTTGTTTTGGTCATTGTACTTTCATTTTTAGAATTTACTTTGTAGTGTTTACTTTTCTGTTGTCATTTTCCCTGTTAATTCATTGATAACACTTTTTAAATTCATTGAACATTTTTTGTTTGAGTTCTTTGAATATATTTATAGCAGCGACCTCAGTGTTTTGTCTGCTAAATCTAACATCTAGGTCCACTTGGTGTTAATTTTTATTCACTGCTTTTTATCCTGAGAAAGGGGTCACACATTTTCTTTTTTTTTTTTGAACTGTCTGGTAATTTTTAGACAAAAACTGGACATTAAAGATAATATTTTCTAGTGATTCTGGGTTTTGGCATGTTCTTCTGAAGACAGTTGAATTTTCTAGTAGGCAGTTTTCTTGCCTGGATTTCAACTTCATATTTTGTCTCCTTGGTATGCAGCTTTTTGAATATCTATTCTTATGGTTTCCCTTTGCTGTTTTTTTTTTTAGGTTGGCTTTTGTAGATCTTTCTTCTGCCTGCCAAATGTGGCAGTAAGCCAAGGATTTGGGAAAGTATGGAGCTCATTCTTTCTGTGGATTCTTTTTTCCTAGGGATTTTCCTGTATTTTCCAGTTCTTCTGACAAGTTTTGGCTCTATACACTTAAGACTTCAAGCCTGTCCAGCTTCAGCTTTCTGCGACTTAAGCTACACACATTTATGGAATGCACTCATTTTAGCAAACTTTCCAACTCATAGCTCTGGTTCCTCGTAGCTCAATCTTTCTTGAATATATTTTTTTCTGATTTCTGCCTGTTTTTTTATGGGCCTCCCTGGAGTCTCTCCCATGCTTGGGTAGTTTCACTGTCAGCTATGGATTATGGCTCTTTGTGTTCTCAATTATTTCCAAGATTTTCCCCTTTAAATTTCTAGCTGCTTTCCCAGTGCTGGATTCTGAGGGCACCATTATAGTCACTTCTATTTCTGAGTCATGAAAGTTGGGTCAGTAAACCACAAACTTAATTCATACTTTTTTTTTTTTTTTAAAGTAGCCTCCATGCCCAGCATGGAGCCCAAAGTGGGGCTTGAACTCATGACCCTGAGATCACGACCTGAGCTGCAATCAAAAGTTGGATGCTCAATTGACTGAACCACCCATGTGCCCCTAATTCATTCCCTTCTTATTGCAGTTCTGCTAAAGTTAAATATTCCTCCAGCTCCTGTCTACCTTCTGGATACTTTCGAGTGTCTTTAAATAGTATTTAAAATTTTTTACTTACTATTTTATGTTTGTTATCTGTGAGGTTCACATGATCACTCACTTCTCCACTGTTACAGGAATTTTAGGACCTTGAATAACCACAAACTTGCTATTCTTAACCCTTCTTGTTGCAGTTCTTTTAAAATTAAATTCTTCTCTAGCTTGGGTCTGCTTTTTTTTTTAAAGAATTTATTTATTTATTTGACAGAGAGATAGAGAGAGAGCACAAGTAGGCAGAGAAGCAGGCAGAGGGAGAGGGAGAGGTAGGCTCCCCGCAGACCAGGGAGCCTGATGTGGAACTCGATCCCAGAAGCCTGGGATCATGACCCGAGCCGAAGGCAGCCGCTTAACCGACTGAGCCACCCAGGTGCCCCTGCTTTTTTTTTTAATATTCTTTTTTTTTTTTAAGATTTTATTTTATTTATTTGAGAGAGAGAGTGAGAGAGAGGGCACAGGAGGGTGAAGGATCAGAGGGAGAAGCAGACTCCCCACTGAGCAGGGAGCCCAATGCGGGACTCAATCCCGGGACTCTGGGATCATGACCTGAGCTGAAGGCAGTCGCTTAACCAACTGAGCCACCCAGGCGCCCCTTGGGTCTGCTTTGTATATGCTTTCCAGTGTAGTTACATTTTTGAAATTTTACTAATATTTTATAGTTACCTGTGGGAGTTCACACTATCACTTCCCCAGTACTAGAAGTTGCAAGACCTTAAATAGCTATAAGTAGGTAATTTTAAGAATAAGATCATTAATGCCCTGGTTTATAAAATGCCCTTGACTATAAAAGACAAGTACGGTATATATGAAAGAACAGATGCCCATATTAAATTCTCACAAATATTATTTATCTTGTGCTTGAACAGTCTATAACTCTGTTTTAGTCCAGTTAATGTCAACATCAATTACTTGTTATTATTTTCTTAACATTTGCTTGAATATCTTCATTGTAATACTTACTTGGTTATTTAGTATTGTCAAAGTCAGTATCTAATAATTACCCCCAAATTTAACTATTTAACTTTAGCCCTTATCTCCAGCCCTGTATAGTTATAGGACCAAATAGTGCCAGTTGGCCCATTCCCTAAGTTTTAGGGGGCTGCATTACTCCTTGTTATTTAGTGACAAATGTGTGCAAGGGAATGAGATCCAGCCTTATTAGAAATGCAGACTTTGGACTTTATCTTTTATATCATTTTCTAAGAGGTATTTTTCAACAATTATGGTAGTTGTTATTTGCTCATAGATACTTACTAGTGGCACATTTGTTTCACGAGCAGGGATATGTTAATTGTCCAACTCAATCTTTTGTTGTATGGCAGTTCTCTCTTTTCCCATATATTTGAGTGAGATATTGTTATTGAATGGTCATAAGTATTTTTACTGTGTATGAAGAAAAGATTATTGATTTAGAACAACTTCAATAAAGAAAATAATATTTTATTGTACAGGTGCAGTTACTAGCAAGAAAAATTATCTACTCATATTTAAGCCTGCTAGTGAATTCAAAGAATGACCTGGCTCTGGCTCATGTTCTCAATATTCCTGATAGAGGACTTGGAAGAGAAGCCTTCACTGATTTGAAACATGCCGCTCAAGAGAAAAAGATGTCTATCTTTTTGGTATGAACATGTTACATTTTCAGTATGTTTTAAAGACTTATGAACAGTGGATACATGTACCTTAATATAGAATTCTTGTAATTATGATAAAACAACATGAATACATGTTCTTCCTTTGTATTTGAAAATCTATGGTATTTTTATTTATTACCATATTCTTCAAATTTGACAAGGGAAAATTTCTCTAAAGAAGTGTTTTCCCACATGTGTTCTATAGAGTGCTATCTCTGTTAAATTCTCCTTGAATAAATATTTCCAAAGGCAAAAGACCCTGTTAATGCTCCTTGAATAAATGTTTCCAAGGGCAAACAGTTTGGAAATAGTGTCTACCTTTATTGGATATAGGTAATGAATATTTGTATATCAAAAGCTCTGAGAAGTCCTACCATTTAAGAAATTTAAGAAATCTGCTTAAATTAACGTTGTTACTTAATCTGTTGTTTCCTAAGTTATTTAATCTTGGAAGTTTCTTCCAAATTACTGAAATTTCATAGAATTTGTCTTAGGATACACTTTAGAACATTTCATCTTTGGAGATGGAGATGCTCTTAAGTGTAGCTATCCTATATGTATTTTTATCATTGTAAGGCAAGGCCTTTTGAACTACACATGATCAAATAATCCTAAAATGTGAAAGCTAGATAGGGCTTTGTGCTTATTTAGTCTAAATGTTGAGCTTATAAATAAAGACGATAAACCTTGGAAGAGTTGAATTAATTGCCCACCCTTGAATAAATCAACACAGTGACACTGAAAAACCCCTTTGTTTCATATTAAAAATTCCAGTTCAATCGATATGAGAATATATCCATACACTAATATTTTATAGTCAGTGATGTACTCTTATGAATATAATCTTATGCCCTTAGTTTGTCACTTCACTTGGCTCCTCAGTTTCCCCTTGCATTGCCATCATCCTTGTTGGCATGAATTTTGCATGGCATCTTCTTTCTTTAATTATTTGCTTTTGAATCAAAGTGACATGAATCATAAAAAGTGCTTACTTTACCTGTATACCCAGAAATAATATAAACGTACCCAGCTTCATAAAGTTTTATTTTTAACTTATTAAATCATTAAACATAACTAAATCATTTATTTTAATTCATAGGTGGCCACATCATTTATTAGAACACTAGAGCTTGGAGGGAAGGGATATGCACCATCACCATCTGATCCTTTAAGGGCACATGTAAAAGGACTGTCTAATTTTATTAACTTTGTTGACAAATTAGATGAGATTCTTGGAGAAATACCAAATCCAAGGTAATGACTTTTCATAAATTACAAATATGTGTTATTAACCTGTCTTTGAAACTTTACAGAATCAAATGTAGATGTGAATATATGAGCTATTGAAATGACTAAGCATCAACAGTAGGGAAAAGAAACAAAATATCTAGATGACTATATTATAATCTCATGACTTTTTCCCCTAAATTTCTGCCTATCTTTGATTCTAAAATTTTTGCCAATGGCATGTTCACATGAAATTTGACTAGAGAAGAGGGCTATTTGTCTTTATCTGGAAGAAATAGATTTTGGAGGACTGGGCATGACTGAATAGATAATTTCTTTAAAATTTGTATTTAGCACTACAGGAAACCTATACCAAGAATGAGGAAATTGACAAAGATATGATAAAATCTATATTCTACTTCCTGCTATTTTTTTTTCATTTTCTTTCCATTTTCTTGGGTGTAAATCTTTGGTTCATCTGGAATTTGTTTTTATATGATATTGGAAGTAAGAGATTCTTTCTTATCTAATAGACTCCCATTTATAATATATGCATATTGGATGATTAGTAATTTTGTGATTAATTTTGGTACAGAAGTGGGCTGTATATGTTAGCAATCATGGTAGATCACTGTCAATTTGGGCATACCAAACAGCTGGTATTTACTGAACACTTTTTATGGGTCAGGCTCTTTATGGGGATTATCATTTGATTTTTACAGCAACCTTACATTATAGGTACTGTATAAATACACAATTCAGAGAGTAAGAAACTGAAGTTCTGGGACTAAGTGATTTACCTCAGTCACATTGTTATTTAAGTAGCAGAGCTGGAATCTGAACTCAGTTCTGACCCTGGAACCCATTCTCTTAATCACTATATCTTATTTCATGAAACCTCTTTTCATTTTAAGATTCCAAGAAGAATTTGTTTCTCAGGATTTTATTCTGAATTGCATCCTCTGTCTTTATGGATATCCATTACAAGAAAGTAAATTTGGAAGAGGGTTTTGAATATGTCTTATAGCCAATATCAGTGACATCTTCTGAACTTTCAAATAATGTATTGGCTGGCTATTCTGAGATAGCAGATAATTTTAAAAAATATTTTTATTTATTTATTTTTATTTATTTTTATTATTATGTTCAGTTAGCCACTGTATAGTACATCATTAGTTTTTGATGTAGTGTTCAATGATTTATTAGTTACGTATAACACCCAGGGCACATCACAACACACGCCCTCCTTAATAGCAAAGCAAATATAGGTATATTTTGTTGAAGTCAAATAGTAAAGAAGTCCTCTACAGATGGTCTTTAAATTTTTTGTGTGTTTGTTTTTATATTTACCTCATTTAAATGAAATTTTAATGCAGATATTTGTTGATTTTTTTCCATTTGAGACATTATTAACTCCCTACCCTGGAAGATGGTGATTTGCTACTCACACACCAACCTCCCAGCCCCCCTTGTCTGTCTTCCCTCTCTTGTTACACACACGGAACTTCTCTTCTTTCATCCTTCTAATATGGTTATACCACAATTTCAGGTTAAGTTATATTTTAGAATTTATATTATTATGACTCTGTAAATACTGCCTACACCTAAGCTATGTGATATGCTGTGATTGTACTTCCTTTCTTATACAAATTTTTGTTTTTTCCCTAGATTTAATAATTATCTACTTTTCTCTTTTCCTTTACTTCCTGTATATTTATCATTGGTTCTTTTTTGAGCTTTCCAATAAAACCATACATATTCTTATTATTAGATCGTCTGTCAGTTCTGGTTTTTGCCCTTGAAGACATTCCTTCTAGAGAGTCCTCTATCTTCTTCATTGAGTATGTACTTTTGCTTGTTAGGCCTGTTTCACAGTGGTAATGGTGAATTTTCTTTGCCTCTGCCTTGTTTTTTGGATCTTGTGACTTTATTTTTAATTGGTAAACCCCTTATTTTACTCACATGGCTTTCTGAGAAAAATAGGAGGCAAATATCTTTATCATATTCTCACATTTGGTTGTATATGATCTTATATCATGTTTCATTTATTTAAAATTATTTAAGATTATTTTTATCTGCTTCCTGGATGGTCTTTGTTTTATCTAAGTTGAATGTTTTTGTTTGTTTTGCCCTCTTTAATGTTAGAGGTATTTCTAAAATGTGTGGTGATTCTGAACAGTCCTTTTATCATATTTAAGAATGAGACCATAGAAAGCTGATTAGTAGCTCTATACAGTGGATTTCATTATAGCATGGTAGCCATTTGGCTCTTTTGTTGGGGATTCTCCAAATGTCAGTAACTATAGGTCTTTTCTTTGGGACTTACCCCAAAATTTCCAGAGTGGCATCCTTTAGTCCCTTTCAGAAAGCTGTAAGTCTAGCTAGTAATATTCTGGAATTTGAGGTAGGGTAGGGGTTGATGCTGAGTCTCCCAGTTCCAGTATGTAGACTTTTACTTTATCACTCTGTTTTCAGTCCCTGTTGCCTCGGGGTCCAGAGCCGATCTGGCTTAGTTTCTTCAGAGTATTCTTGCTTCCCATGCTGAGGGGAGAGAAGTGCACTGGCCTGACTGCTCAGAAGGAGAGGAGATTTGTGTCTAAGTGTTTCTGATGTAGACTGTCAACCAGCTTTCTCATTTGCAACCCCATCTTTATTGTAGCCTTCAGTATTGAATTCGATTTCTGAGAATTTCTGGGGTTGCTTCGTATTGGTGTCCCTTTTAGCAGTTACTTATGTTTTAGCTTTCTCTGTTCTGAGTAGTCAGCTACCACATGTGCATATGCTTTTCATTTTCCCATGCTTTCATTATATGTCTCTGCTGTCATCTGTTATTGTCTCCCCTAACATTCTCTTTCTTTGTGGATTTTAAAACACTTGCCTTTTTGTCATTTTTAGTGCAGTTTTAGGAGGGAGCTGATAAAAATGCATATATTCAGTCCAATGTAGTTTGTTATAATTATGGAGGAATTTCTGGTTGGGATAAATTATCTACAGGATAGAAGTACATTTTAGAGGCATCTAGGAAGAGAGAATGGACTTAAATTCTTTAACTTATCAATGAGTTATCTTGGATATCCTATCTTGTCACAATGAGTAATTACTCTATGTTCGAGGGAAGGCTACCATGCTTTAGGGAAGACCACTAAAGAAGTAGGTGTCTAAATAGTGGGTATGTTCATGTGGGTGTCTGAATAGTCCACCCGAGGAATCTTTCTTTCTTCTTTTTTCTCTTTATTTCATCTTTATGGTGATTTTTGTATATATTAAGTATATATTCATTTCATAATTTTAAAAAAGTTATTAAAAGCTAAAAAAATATATGCTACTTATACAACAATAGAAGGATATACAGAGAAAAGGACAGTTGACTTAGTTTGTGGGAGCCAGGGATAAAAATGTCAGGAATGCTTACCTGGGAGGCGTTACAGTTCAGCTTAATCTTGAAGTATGAACTTGCAGGAGTTAGGCAGACATGGAGAATGGGTGTGAAATGAAATCTAGATGGGGGGAAGGGAGGATATTTCCTAGAGTGGGGATAATATGGCTAACCTATTGGGACATTGTTTTATTGGTTATTCATTTTGTCTTAGAATTTCAACTTCTATTAGTACTTTTGCCACAGTGTATAAAGATCGTAAGAAAAAAACAAAAAACCAATTTCCCTGTTTTTGTCAATACCTTCTTCCTTTTATAGCTAGGATTCTTGAAAAAAAAATGCTATCCTTTATTCCATTTCTGAATTTCTAATTATTTAATATATATTTCTCCCCAGGATGTAAAGTCTATGAGGGTTTTATTGGTTTTCTGCACTAATATTCCCTAGTCCTAGCACAGTTTCTGTCACAGAGTAAGACACTCAATATTTATTTACTTGTCTGTACTTAACTGACTCATAGTAATTCACTTTTCCACTCTATTGAAGCTATTCTGCCAAAGATCACTTGTGATCTAGTTGGTGTAGAATTTTTGGTCTCTTTTGAGTCCTTAATTTTGATCATTTTCTTTCTTAGAACTCTTTTCCCTGTACTTCTGAGATTTCGTTCTCTTATTTTCCACCTACTTCTGGGACTGCATATATGCAGATTCTAAATCTATATTTCAGTGGGATTCAAACCTCTTTCCTGAGTTTCAAAAACATATATTTAACTATATGTTGTGATCTCAAAGCAACTAAAACTTAACATGTTCCAAACTAAATCTTCGTCTTTCCCTGTAAACCTGCTTCTCCTCCTGAAGTGTCCAGCTTGATGAAGCCTCTCTTCCTCCAGCTACCTAACCAGAAATTTGGAACATATCCTAAACTCCTTTTTCTCCTTTCTCTGTCCCTTCAGTTACCAAGATCCATGAATTCTTCTTAACATTTTTGATGTTCTTTGTTCTCATCTCTATTCCTATAGCTACAATCTTGTTTCCATTTTTTAATGGAAAGCCTGTTTTCAGACTTTTATCCTTTCTTGCTTGAACTTCACTTCTCTTTGAGTTGTTCTTTCTGCCTCCAATCTTGAGTTGCTCCATCCTGTTGTCCTTACTGCTGCCGGTGGTCTTTCTAAAACAGCAGATGTTACTCCCATGATTAAAATCCTTCAGTGATTTCATATTAGGTACAGGATAAGACTCCAGAAGCCTCAGTATAATATAGAAATCCTATGTGCTCTAATTCCTGCCTTTATCTTGCTCTGGCTTCTGTCTCTCAACCTTAAAACTTAGAGATAAAAATGTGTTTAACTCTTAAAACTGACTATAATAGAGTGGAAGTGGTAGGGAATCACAATAATCTTTGAATCAAAAGGAAGATGGGGAATAGATAGGGAAGAAATGAAAGAAGAACTGATTCTCACACTTCCCTCCCCACTGCCAACTTTCATCAAGCCATCCTAGCTGTAATTTGGTTGTATTTCTACATTTTGCCAGTAGGTGCCACCATAAAATGCATACTATAGTTTCCTGAAAAATATCTTAAATTAGGGGTTTCAGGTTACATAAATTAGTTAGTTCTCTGTTGTTCAAATGCTTAAAATTATGTATTT